AATGTCACTTCCCAGCTATGTCGGATGCGTTCCAGTTTGCTGGAAAGGCTTAGCAACGGAGCCCACAGGTGGCATCTGGTGGGCAACCTGCCATGTCTAAAACGGACAAAGGTCTGGGGTCAAGAATGGCCGAGCCGAACCAGAGAGAGGAGGACTGAGCTGAGCCGGAGAAAGGAGGACTGAGCGGAACCAGAGAGAGGAGGACTGAGCTGAGCTGGAGAAAGGAGGACCCAGCCAAACCAGAGGAGGATCGAGCTGAGCCGGAGAGGGAAGGAGATGGGCAGAATTCACAGAGACCCCACAGCCAAGGCCAAGTGTACGGAGAAGGCCCGTCTCGCCAAGACCAGAAAGCTGCACATCAAAACACCGGTCAACGGCTTACTCCCACTAGCAAAAGTTGGAGGCAGAGGGCTCTGAGTGAATGTGGGGTGAGGATCCCCCCAGGAACCACTGGGGTCCCAGGGCCAGCCCTGGAGCCGGCGGCAGTCGGGGCATCGGTGGCCCTGGGGCCCAGCCAGCAGTGCCTCTGCCAGACACCAGGTGGCGCGAGAGGAAGGCGTGCAGCAGGCTGGGGAAGGGGAGTCCCTGCAGAGGACACTGCCAGGGCGGGGCATGTTCCGGAATGTTCCAGAGGGGCCAGATGAGCAGAGCGCCACTCAGATAGATCCTAAAACATGGTTGGGCAAGAGTAGGAACTAGGATGAGGTCATGTGAGTGCGCACCCTGTGTACAAATTCTCTGCCGGTCACAGGACAGCAGTAGGGGCTCTGTGGGCTGAGGACGCACATGGCACATGGGATGGGGTGGCGGGGACATGGGGGTGGGATGGAGGGACGTGCTCACTGTGAGACTCCAGATCTGACAGGTGACAGACCCAACTGTGCCTGTATAGACAGACTGGTGGCCTGTCCCATCTCTGGCTGGATGGAGGGACCGGTGGCCTGTCCAGTCTCTGATGGTTGTCCTGGCCTAGCTGGGGCGGCCTCTCCCACCTGGCTTCTGTGCCCCTGTGAACCACACCCCCCTGGCTCGCACAGCCCCAGGAGAGGTTAGGTGATGCCAGTCTGGACCCAGCAGTGTCCAGGGCTGCCCGCCCAGCGCTGGGCACTGAAGTTTGCCAAGATGAACCCCAGCCCTCGGCCTGGGCTGCCCCGAGCCTGGGCTATCCTGCCCTGGGTGGCCTTGGGGACGGGGCTTGGGTGCAAGGCCTCAGCAGCAGCCCCCTCCCACTGCCCTGCATCCACACAGCCCCCACGGCATCCCAGGTCAACCATGACCTGCAGGATGGGCTGGGACACCAAGCGCCGCGGGCACCCTGGCACCCTACTCGGGACACAGGCCTTGTTGGCTAGACGGGTGTCTTTAGAGCCCTGATAGCCCCCTGCAGTGGGGCCCACTGACCCCTGCGGTGGGAAGAGGGTCTGGGCCTCAATTTCACCCCCTGCAACAGGAGGGTCTGGACCTACCCAGGCTATGCGGCTGCACAGGAGGGCTGGGCCAGGCAAGTCCTGCCTCCCGGGACCCCTCTCCCGCTAAGCCAGCGTGGCAGGAGCCCCCGCGGGACCCCTATTATCTGGGGACTGTGGGCGGGCAAGTGTCCCTGGGTCCCAACACTGAAGTATGGGACGGGCTGAGGTTCCATGAGGAGAGTGAGCAAGAAGACCCTGGGGAGG